AGGAAGCATGACAGGTTGCTCAAAAGTTCTTTCTCTCTCTCCCTCTCTTAATTTCTTACCAATACTTCCTTTAACACCACTGAAATCTTAACCCACACCACCCTCAAACTTAAGAAGAAGGTGGGTGCTATTCAGCAAAGATCCAGGCAGGTGTGAAAACAAGAAGCCACTTCTTGATCTAACTTTCCACTTCAAAGGAGCTATCCATGGTGGCGAAGCAGCACCCGGGAGAGCGCCAGCAAAGTTCAGGCTAAAAGCCACGATGGACGGATCACACAATTGGGGGGCCCTGGTTGTTCTGTGCCGTCAAGTCACCTCTGACCTAGGATGATCCTATGAATCAGCAATCTCCAAAATGTCCTTTCCTAAACTGCCCTGCTCATCACTTGCAAACTCAAAACTTGTGGGTTCCTTAGACAGTCAGTCCATATCCTATTGGGTCTTCCTCTTTTCCTGCTTGCCTTCTCCCTTTCCTAGAATTATTGTCTTTCCTAGGTAATCCTGCCTTCTCATAAGGTGTCCAAAGTAAGACAGCCTCAGTTCCCACATTTTGACCTCCAGAGAGTGTCCAGGCTTTATTTGATCTAGGACCCCCTTGTTTGTCCTTCTGGACGTCCAGGGTATCTGAAAAGCTCTCTTCCATTTACTCCTCCTAGTCGCTTAGGAAATACTTGTCTCAAAAAGAGAGATCAGTCCACCAAACCCTCTCCATGAAATCTCTGAGAAGCTCTCTCTGGACTCTTCTACTTGTGAGTAACTCAATATCAACATAAGCAATCCCTACTGTGGGCATTTATGGAAAAGGTCCTCTCCAACAACCTGCAATGGCTGCCCAGGTGATGTGCCTGCGTCACCTATAATACCCACAACGGCTGCCCCACTCTCAGATTATCTTCATTCAGTAACATTCCAGATTTGTTACATCAAGGCTGCCGAGAGCGTCCAAAAACCGAATAGTCAATTCCACTGGGGCATCCATCCCTCTCTGAGGTCGTGAGCTTAAAAATGACAAGTTTGTGTTTTGTTTTGTTTTTTTACATTTAGCAGCATGCTTGGTAATAGCTTCAAACCGGAAACAAAGCCCTGACTTAGGTGTTTGCTCCATGGAGAACTAACATTTGGAATAGCGTTTTCACAGAAATGCTTATTTCTCGTGTCATCATTTAAAGAAAACTGGTCATGCTAATGATTTGCACCAAATGTGGTTAGTGTTTATTATTAGACATGTAAATCCAAATAAAAGCTTATGTTCTCCATCTTTGTGTCATACCAATCACCAGGAAAACATATTGCGTGAATTTCAGCACTCACTATCTAACGGCCTTCTGCAACATTATTATTTTGGCCTGTAATCACTGATCATGGTTAATACATTAATTTTATTTTGAAAACAAGGAAGTGGCTTACGGGGCATAAAACGTCAGCTGAAACTCACTGCAGGAGCACGAAGCACCCAATTTTCCAGAGGCAAGCCAATGTGGCAGACGACAGATACTGTAGTCCAATGGTCCCCAACCTTGAGCCTCCAGTTGTTCTTGGACTTCAACTCCCAGAAATCCTGGCCAGCAGAGGTGGTGGTGAAGGCTTCTGGGAATTGTGGTCCAAGAACATCTGGAGGCCCAAGGTTGGGGACCACTGCTGTAGTCCATTCATTCCCACATCCTCATCCAGCCCCTCTACGCAAATGTGTTCCAGATTTCTACAGAGAACCAACATTTTATAAAGGGGAAATTTTAAAATCGGATGAGCACACATTAGAACAACTGAGCCCACCATACATCCATGCCACTGCGAGGGAAAGGAAACTGGCATTTTTTCAGCAGCTGCTTCTGTCATTGATGAGCTTCGTGTTCCATTTGCCCTGGCCAACAAGACCAATGTCGGAGGTGATGTGCGTTTATGTACTCATTTCATTCAGGGACACAGCTCACCATTCCTCTGGGAATGATGATCTCCCTCTGAAAAGAGGCAGCTCTTGGTCAGCTTTTGGGGAGGGTAATCTTTGGAGTTTTGCCACCATGACTGAATTACAGAATTTGTACCTCGTGCAGCTGCTGTACAGATTCTCAGAATGGCTTACATACTAATAAAGGATAATGAGAACATCCATGCCTCTGAGCTTACTCTCAAAATATGAAATGACAAAAAAGAAAAGAAAAGAAAGAAAGAAAAAGAAAAAAAGGAAAAGAAGTTCAGGCAGAGGCTTAAAAGTCATAAACCAACAGCAACTGGAAAGCCTTGGGGTCCCTCCTGGCCGAGGGAGATTTTTGTACCCTTGAGAAGGAGAGGCTGTGGCATGTTTTATTGTAAGAGAAATGAAGGTCTAAATTATGCAGAAAAGGTTTCACCCCTCTAAATAAAAAACAGTGGTGTGTTTTTTTAAATCACATTCCTCAGAGGATGGAAATAGACCAAAGATCCAGGAATCAGCAGTTAGTCATCTGAGCGGAGAAAGTGCCAGAATTAATTAAGGAAAGTTTGACTGTGCAAAACTCATTCCCTCAACTCTGTCTGATCCCTGATTTTAAAAAAGGGTTAGTGGCTTGGGGGGTGTTATAAAAAATACTTGTTTCTAGAGAAATGGACCAAATCAGGAAAATGCAAAGGAAACCAAGGCAAAGGAAGAAAAAACAAGAGAGAAGCATCACAGCAAACTGCTCGGCAGGAAGTGTAGAAGCAAAGAAAGTCTCTGTTACCCAGCTGCTCCGGTATGTCTGCAATATATTTCCCCTGCTCGCTGGGGATGACAGGAATTGTAGTCAAAATCATCCGGAGGGCACCACCTTTCTTCTGTTTCTGCGGCAAAACCAAATAAAGGTACACCCCATGGGTAAAACGGAGAACTGGGCTACCCAAAAGGGTGTAGAAGAGTCACTAAATCAGGGATGAGCAAAGTGTGTCCTTCCAGTTGTTGATGGACCACAACTCCCATCAGTCTGGGCCAGCATAGCTGAGCATAAGGAATGTTGAAATTGCTCCATGTTACCTGATGAGCTGCACTTAGAATATATATATGATTCAGCAGAATTAAGCACTGTGGCGTATTTCCCCTTCATCTTATGATGATACAAGGTACTGGGATGATGGTACTGTTCATTTACTCCACAGTGAGTAAATGGGAGAGGGGAGGTGAAGCCAAGTAATCCTTGGCTGAAATCTTGTCCCCTACTAGAAATTCATCAAGTTCCTCTATTTTTTATCAGGGCACGGCACAATTTAAATTCTACAGTAGGACCCCCTTATCCACTGGATCAGTTTCCAATGAGTCACTTATCCACAGTCTGAAAATACACACACACGTGTGTGTGTGTGTGTGTGTGTGTAAATAAAAGAGAATCAACAATTTTTCACATGTATTCCCCAAACCTGTGAGTAGTGGGAGAGAGAGCCCTTGCTATGAATACTGTAGTACAGTGGTGCCCTGCATTACGATTTTCATTCGTTCCAGCGAAATCGCTGTAGAACAAGAACATCGTAAAGCTTTTAAAAAGCCCATAGAAACACATTAAAACCCGATTAATGCGTTCCTATGGGCTTGAAACTCACAGTCCAGTGAAGATCCTCCAAAGCGCGGCCATTTTCGCTGCCCGTGCAGCAAGGAATCCGTCCCAGAAAACAGCGGGTGGCCATTTTTTTACCCGGCAGCCATTTTGAAACCACCGATCAGCTATGCGAAAATCTTCGTTTTGTAATAATCGGTTAGCGAAGCAAGTAACCAATCATCGAAAGCCAAAAAACCCCATAGGAAACATCGTTTTGCGATCGCTTTTGTGATCGCAAGAACTTTTTCGTTATGCGATTTCGTTAAACGAAGCGCTGTCTTGCAAAGCACCACTGTACTTGTGAGTGAAGAATACATAGCACAGTATTCTATAGCCTCTGGCGCCCTCTACTGGCCAGTTCGAGGAATACATGTGAATATAATCCTGCTTTTTCCCTGTCCCCATGGTATAGACACGATGGCGTTCGCTATTATCCGCAGGTTTCACTATCTGTGGGAGCCTTGGCTACAATCCCATGGGGATATTGGAGGAGGGGTCCAATACAGTAGACACTCATGCAAGACAAGTGAAATTAAAAAACAACCAACACATTAAGCCTCTGTTTGAGCAGGTTAAAGCCATTCCTTCTTTATTTCCGATTATACCGAAAAAGCAGAGGAAGGAGGAACCAAGGAGGGGGGTCCTACCTATAGGGCTGTCGGGGGCGGACGGTTCCCCTCCAAAAGCCGGGCCAGGCCACTCTTGGTCTACCTTACGGGGTCGTGGTAGGGAGGGTAGGCAGCCCCGAGGGGGGGGACTCCGAGAACCGCTCCAGGGAAACACGTCAGGAGGAAAGTCACGACCAGCCTACCTCAAAGGGCTGTTGTCGTGGCGTCGTCGGTCGTCGGAGGCGCTTCCAGGGCCGCAAGGGGGGGAAGACGACAGCCGGTCTACCTCGCAGGGTTATCATCGCCCTTCTCTCACTCTCGACCATGATGAGGGAGGAAGAGGAGGAGGCGCGACTTCCTCTTCTTCGCCTCAGCCTCGCCGTTATCACCAAGGCAACGCTCGCAGACGGCTCACCCCATCTCCTCAGGCGCCAACAAGGCGTCCGGCGCATGCGCCAAGCTGGGCGCCTGCGTACTGCGGAACACAAAAATCCGATTCTGGAGTTGTGCGCATGCGATCTCTCCTGCCGCTTCCCGGATGATAAGCCGGGCCTCACGCTTTTTCAAGCCCATACGCTCTTTCATTCTTTTCCCGCTCTCTCGCTTTCTCCGCCCACTTGCCCTGCCAGCCAATCGTCGCTGCGTCCCTTCCGCCACCTGACCCTAAGCCCCGTCGACAAAAGCTTTTTCCCTTGAGCCCTCAAAGCCAAGTCCCGCCCTCCTTGCTAACCAACCAATCGCCTCCCTATTTACCTCACCCACTTAAACTCCGCCCATCACACCGGCTCGCTCAGCAGATCCTCACAACGTCCTACTCTACCCTCCCGCAGTACTAAGCCACGCCCACTTACCTTCTTAGCCAATCCGTCACTTTGCCATCTATTTAATCTCCGTCTGTCGCCCTGCGCTGACTTTCTTGACCAATCATCACTCGCGAACTTTGTCCAGCTCACTTTTAATCTCGACCAATCCTCACCCCTTTTGTCTTATTGTTTATGAGCCCAAACCTCCAGGACTCTGACCATAGAGTTTCCCAAGACATCATAGAACGGCTATTTCTTTAACGGGACTTCCTAGTTGCCTCCCCTCCCGGAAAAGTCAAGAATTGACCCCCTTCCTTGAAAGGATAAAATAAGCAGGAAGTCAGGGCGATGTTTTGGGATAATCAAATTCTCTAAATACTTTGGGATAAATTATAGTTCAGACCAAGGCGCAAGATGGAGCATGTTTATGCAAGCCATTGAAATAGAATACAGAACCGGAAGCCAATGTCCGTAATCCACTTTTCTAAGATAGAGCTGGCAGCCTTGGGTTCCTGGGCATAAAGAAAGTCCGTAGAGAGCCCTAATAGATGCAGTTTGGCTGGAAAAGCTTTAAGCCATGAGCTGTTATGGACATCTTTCTGTAGAAGGTTAAGATATCCCATGGAGGGATCAGCATGTATTACCTTATTCCAATATCTAAAAGCAAAGAGCCAAGCGCTGCATTCTAGTGATGTTAGACCAGTCTCTAATCGTAAGGCAGCTGCAGGGGTGCATCATAGCCTTCCCAGAATGGATCTTACAAAATTTTAAAGAACACTCTTCATACTTGTGTGAAATCCTAGGATCCAAGTTGGCATACCATATAACAGTTGGGGCAGAATCTTGAGCTTAAAAACTTGAATAACAGGTGCTTTCTGCATGTTCTTGGCTGCTTGGATTGGGCAGCCCAGGAAAGTTTATGGTGGAATGTAATACCTAGATACTTTAGCTGTTTTACTTGCTCAGTGCAAGAACCATTAATTGTCCATTTTCTAGGTGTTACAGAATGAGTGAAAACCATAATTTTGGTTTTAACAAAATGTATAACCAACTGATTGTTCTTACACTAGGTCAGTGGTGCTGGAGGAGGCTCTTGAGAGTCCCCTGGACTGCAAGGAGAACAAACCTATCCATTCTAAAGGAAATTAACCCGGAGTGCTCACTGGGTGAGCTGCCCAGAGTGGTAGAATATACCAGGCCCATTTTAGCGTGTGCAAACTCCTGATTGCTCTCTGTCCAGGCTTACGCGGATGTTTTCGAACTCCGTGTTTGCTCGCAAGCGTGACTCAAAAAACTTTTTCCAGCAGAAAAGCAAAGACACTGATCCCAAAACTAGAGATCACTTGTTACCTGAAGTGTAATATCCTCAGTTATAGGACATATTATCCCTATCAATAGCTTAATTTTCACTCAGAAATTAGGAGAATCATTAAAGAAAATGGGTTGTTGACTATTAGTATAAAGGGGCCTTGAAGTTTTTTAAGCTCCTGCTCACTCCTCCGGGTTCCTTGCTCAAGGCATCCCCAATTCCTGCCTGACACTCTATCCTCTATGACACCATAGCTGTCAACAGGTCATACGCCCACCTTCAACCCTCATCTTGACCTAACATGAAGATCCATCCTGGCCAGTTGAAGGCTCAGCCTGACTGTTAACTGCCTCTCAGTTTGCAGAGATACAGAACCTCTCCAGATTGTGACCTCATTCTGACATCGGATGATTCTGACCTATGGCTAGGATGATTAGGAGAATTCTGGGAGCTGCAGATAAAGAAAGCAACTTTATCAAGCTCTGCTTTGCATGTGATGAGCTTGCCCAAGGCGACACTGGCCAGCTCTTCCTCCCTGAAGGCACAGTGGGAAATCCAGCTCCCAACCTCTGGCTCCACAACCAGCCTTTGCAACAATACCCAAAGAAACCTTTAGCGTGGCCTGAAAGCCTGCTTCCAGTTAAAAAAGCAAAGACACAGATCCCAAACCCTGGGATCACTCATTACCTGAAGTGTGACATCCTGAGTTACAGGACATATTTTCCCTATCAATAGCTGAATTGACACTCAGGAATTAATAATTTCAGGAGCATCTTTAAAGAAAATGGGTAGTTGACTATTAGTACAAGAGGGCCTTGACGTTGGAACTAGGAACTATTTAGTAACTGCCAATAGTTAATTAGTAACTAGGCAGGATAATTGGGTAAAAGTAATTAGGTGCTTTATGAGAACACGTGTTTGTAATGTAACAAAGGTAACAAGTAGTTACAAATTACTTTTACAGAGTAACAGGTTGTGCCTGCTAGTTATTTCAAAAGTTACTTTCTAAGTACATCTACAGAAGCATTTCAAGTTTTTTTCCCTAGTAAATTTTCTTATCAATGCAAAGTGGTAAAGGAAGGGCTGTTTGGTTTTATATTTTGGTAAATATTTCCAGAATGTGCCATGAGGGGGCCCCAGAGAGCAGTTCAGTGTATTTTTCTGGCCTTCTGGAGAATGTTGATTGGAGAAATGACAACAATCCATTAATACAGCAAAAGAGTATTTGTGATCCAAAGCAGTTATAACTAACAGGGCTCCCTGGATGTAATGAGAGAAACAATAACATGTTTCGTAAAGCACCAAAGTCTGAGTTATTCATTTTTGCTTTCATTTATAAAATTTACAATCCTTTGAGTGTCTGCGAATGTGCTCAGTTTGTCTTACTTACACATCAAACAAAAAGAAACACAAGACGATAATTGTCACTGTCATCATCTTCAAACAGCAGAGCTGGAAGGGACTCTGGGTTATCCAGTCCAGCTTTTGGGGAATTGAACTCCCCATCGCTGGCTCTGCAGCCAGAGAATTAAAACAATCCCTTGTAAAATCATTTTTAAAAGGGCACAGCATGAAAGGAAAGGGGGATAGGGAGGGAAGAGGAAAACTGTCCAAATGTAAATTCTAAATGGCCTGAAGTTTCTCTGCCTGGCGAGACTTGGGCTGGATGGCAGCATGTGTGGCACCAGAGTCAACAGTCTCTGAGATCGTAGAACCCATCTGCTTTCCCCCACTGTATTCCATAAGTGGTCCAGTCCTTGGTACCGCCAACTTTAAAAACACAAAACATCAAAGCTTGCCATTGGTGCTGGTCCTTGGTACCGCCAACTTTAAAAACAGAGTCTGTAGCACAAAACATCAAAGCTTGCCATTGGTGCTATTTCTGGACAACCTCTCATCCTCACAATTCCTGAGCAAGCAGGGCTGTCTTTGAACTCATGGCTGGTAACTCTAGGTTCCAAACCAGGAGTGGATTCATCACCGCACCCCAAACAAGGAGGCACCAGCTGCCCCTGCTTACTTCCCTGTCAAAAAGAGACAATCATTGACTGACTGTTTCTATTTTTATTTTGGTAAATTTTTCCAAGGTAGGATGTACCACTTTGTTATTTAGGCGTTAAGTCATGTCCAACCCTTCGTGACCCCCTGGACCAGAGCACGCCAGGCCCTCCTGTCCTCCACTGCCTCCCGGAGTTGGGTCAAAGTCCCTTTTATCATGGAATGGCACACTTTAAAATTCTACGGTAGGAACCCCATTATCCACAGGATCAGTATCCACTGAGCCACTTATCCAGTCTGAAAATATTTTTTAAAAGAGAGAAGTAACTAGTTTTCACATGTATTCCCAGCACTGGCCACTAGAGGGAGATAGAGACCACACTATGAATACTTGTTGTTGAAGAACACATAGCATGGTCTCTGCCTCTCTCTAGTGGCCACTTCTGGTAAATCATGAAAATACATGTTTCTAGTCTCTCTCTCCCCCCTCCTTTTACCATGATTTGCTATAATCTGTAGTTTTCAGCATCTGCCAGGAGGGTGGTGGCTTGGAACCAATCTTCCATGGTTGTGGGGGTCCTACTGTATTAAAGAAGCAGTTTTACCGGCACCACCCTCTCAATGAGTTTCTGTTGCTGGGCAAGGATTCGAACCCGGGTCTCGTAGACCATCTCTCTATCCACTACACTGTGGTTGCTGGTGGTGGTGTGTGCCCTCCCGTCGGAACCAACTTGTAGCAACCATATTAGAGCTTTGAAGGTCAGCGAGATATTGAAGGTGTGGTTTACCAGTTCCACACCCCTATGTGGTAAACTGGTCGAGTAGACCAGATAGGCGGGGTATAAATCAAATCAAATCAAATCAAATCAAATCAAATCAAATCAAATCAAATCAAATCAAATCAAATCAATCAATCAATCAATCAATCAATCAATCAATCAATCAATCAATCAATCAATCAATCAATCAATCTGTGTTTCCACGGTTTACATGAGGATTCCAACCTTGGTCTCCAGAGCCCTGCGCTACTACTCTGTCCACAACACCACACCAGGTATCCCCACAATACGAGACAGGTATCCCTTGTCTCTTTTGGATGCCACCTCTCCAAGCCAGCCTCCACCTGGTCCTCGTCTCTTTCTGCTGTAAGGTAGGGGACTTGTAGCCCTCCAAAGGCTACCAGGGTATTATTCCTTCTGTGTTTGTTTTCTTTTTCTTTTCTTTTTTGTCCTCACATAGCATAGCCTAACGTGGCTCTCTCCCTCCCTCCTTTTCCCCAGACAAAACATCTCTGGCCACCTGCTGAGTATCTGATTTCAGAGCATCCTTTTATCTCCTGCATCGCAGGCACCAGGGTGACATTTCAGCCTTCCCGGGAGGGTCCCTCTGCCAGGCTAGTCTGATTCCAGCGGTGCGAGACCTTCTTGTCTTTCTTTTCTCCCCCCCCCGACCTTCCTTAGAGTTGCGTAGGAGCAGCGAGCATCCTGTTCTTCTCCCTTCTCTTCCAAAACCTTCTGTGTTTCTAGACCACGTAGACCTGTATCAGTAGGCAAGTGAAATAACACAGCATACCTTGCCTTCTCCACGCCGCTGTTTGCAAGAGTAGAAGTTAAGCGTTCAGGATGGAAGATCCTGGGGCTAAGAAAGCGCCGATGATCGCCGCTCGTGAGACAGGTATGGTGAGCCATGATGTGCCCCCTCTCATTAACCCTGCTGTGGTGAGCCTGTAAAGATGAGATTGTCAGATGGTGTTGGGAAAAGTGTTTTTTAATACACCGAGATAATACACCAGGGCCGTCTCTGGCAACTCTGCTGGGAAAAACCAAGGAACAAAGTGACGGTAAAGTTCCCCCAAGTGTTGGCAACGTGAAGGATTCCCAAGGGTTCCCAACCTCGAGCTTCCAGGTGTTCTTGGACTAGAAGCCCCAGAAATCCTGGCCAGCACTGTGAGGGGTGAAGGCTTCTGGGAGTCGGAGTCCAAGAACATCTGGAGACCTAAGGTCAGAAGCCTCTTGACAGACCAGCTCCGAAATGGATGGGAACATAACTCGGTAGCTGATGGGGTCACCAACACGGGCGGTCATTGTTCCCCTGACTCCCTTTGGAGGCCAATTGGGGGTCTCTGGAATCGATCTTGATTTGATCTGAGCTGTGCCCCATGGATAGCTCAGTGGATTAGTATCACATTGGGGTTTTTTTTTTTGCTGCTGCATTGCCCTGTTGGCTCATGTTTAGCTTGTGGTCAACAAAGACTCATAGATCCTCATCTTATGTCCTACTGCCAAACTAACCGTCACTCAGCCACTATTTGTGAATCTGATTTTTCCTGCCTAGAAGTAGCCCTTGACCAGTCTAAGCTGCTTCTGAGAAAGAGTTATTTATCCCACTGAATTTGGTCTTCAACAGGAAAGGCCGGGGCGGAGAGGGGAGATGGGCCTTTAAGCTGGAACAAAGAGGACTAGAATCCTACTTGATAGGTAAATGAAAAGACCATAGACTATAGCACAATGCTTTCGCTCAGAGAAAGTCCCCCTTAGTTCCATTGAGAGGTCCAGGATTTCAGATTCTGGAATGACAAGTCAGCTAAGAGCGGGGGTTCCCAACCTGGGGTCCCAGACGTTCTTGGCCTACAGCTCCCAGAAATCCTGGCCAGCACACCTAGTGGTGAAGGATTCTGGGGATTGTAGTCCAAGAACACCTGGGGACCCAAGGTTGGGAACTATGGTCTTACAGAGGGTTTTGGGGTGCAATACGGCTTGGCAATACAAGTTCTGAAATAATGTTTGCTCGTCCTGTCAGGTCCTGGACCTGGACGCTACAGCTTGCCTCCAACAATTGGATTTATCAACCATGATTATACCCGCTTCGCCAGCCCGGCTTACTCCTTCCACCAGAGGCTGAGTAACAGTAGTAAGTACCTGAATCCCAGCCTGTGCCCACAACTTTCTTTAAGAGCAGAGCAGAGCCTTCTGGATCCCACTGGACTCCATGTCCCTCTCCTATCCCATGAACTGGTGGTGGTGGTTGCCAGAAATGTATTGCTTGAGTAAGAGTCATTGCTAAAGTCTTGGGCAGCAGCAAAAGGCTGTTCTTTTACAAAGTGGTGGTTGCATTCCTGGTACAGGGCCAGTCGCCTGATCAAGCACTTGCCTGGGAATACAACCAGCACCTTACATTATTGAATGGCAGTTCAAGGCCTTCTGCCAGCACTGGCTATTTATTCTTCATCAGGCAGTGCGTTTCCAGAGTCTCCAGCAGCACAGGTTAGTGACAGGAAGTCCATAAATCCACTCTGGGCTTCAGTCCGAACTTTGCATGAGCTATCGAAGGGGTCAGATCCTATCACCCTCAAATAGATTCAGCACTTGGGGCAGGTTCTTTTGATTTTAAAACCAAGAGCAGATTCACCTGCAAAACCAGAGTGGTTGATTTGCACTGCTGGAGTCGCCCAAAAAAAGCAAGAACAGGACTTTGAACCCAGGTCTCCAGAGACCTAATCTGGCACTCTGTCCGTGACACCAAACCGTCTGTCGATGATGCTCCTTTATCAGGTCTCCAAACCTTCAGACAGGCCCTTGACCATTAGCTCCCCGAACCCAATCTACATGTTTCCACTCAGAGTGCTTTGGAGTTCATTGGCGAGCACTCAAGTGCGCTGAAGTGCATCGTTCAACGGCGGCATACCAGCTGAGGGGTCCCTTTTTAAAATTTTTCAGTACATGTGAAAGATTCAAGTCCTGGCCCCTGTTACTACGTGGAACCAGAGCTCACGCGGTTTGGCAGGACGAGAGGTCCATCTTATTCCATGTTGTCCCGAGCGAAACCTCGAGGTAAGCTGAAGGCAGCAAAGAAGGCTGGGTTGAGAGACAGAGGCTGTCCAGAATCCTACTGCGGTTCATGCCACAGCTAATTGCTTCTAATTAATGAAGTGCTGGTTTGTGTGTGTTAACATCATCGGAAAATTTGTTAGTTTTGGGGGTCTCACCCTCATTCCATCAAATAACGCTTACAAATATCTGTCTCCTGTTTCTTAACGCCATACATTGGATTGGCCATTGATGCGTGCCTAAGTTAAATGGCAGCAAATTGTTGCTAATTAATGACGTGCCGGCTACATTCTTGGTGGTGTGCACAATCAGGGAATGGCGGACAACAAGGAACAAGACCCCAGCTCTGCTCAGTTGCTCGCCCAGCTGTGCCACCGAGGCATGCCCGGGCACCTCATCAATGGACCACAATGAGCCGTGGCAAGTGATCCAAATCCAGTGTCAACTCCAATAGGATTCTGGGCAATGTTGCCTTATTATAATCACCATAATATTTACAACAGTTGTTCTTGTCATGTGCCATCAAGTCACTTCTGACTTAGGGCAACCCTATGGAAGGGGCACTCTCTCCCGAAGGCCCTCTTCTCCACAGCCCTCCTCAGCTCTTGTTCACTCAAGCCAGTGGCTTCCTTGAGGGAGCCAGCCCATCTCGTGTGTGGTTTTCCTCTTTTCCTGCTGTCTTTCTCCTTTTCCAGCATGATGGTCTTTTCCAGAGAATCCTGTCTTCTCACCATGTGCCCCAAAACAGGACAACGTCCGTTTCAACCCTTTTGCCTCCAAAGAGAGTTCAGGCTTGATTTGATCTGGGACTCACTTTTTTTGCCTTTCTGACTGTCCAGGGTGCCTCCAGCACCACATTTCAAACGAATCAATTCTCTCCCCCCCACCCCCAGTTAACTGTCGGCGTTCAGTTCTTATTATTTATTTACTGAGCGGGGCTTGGGAGCTGGGTCTCTCTGGCCTCAGTCGGACTGTCAACGTTGCCTCTACCCACTCTGCCATACTGCCGACAAACAAGACAATGTTATCCTTTAGAAGCATTGTGGTTAACAGGACACATTTCCCCCCAGGTTTTCCTCAGTCTCCTGGGCCAGCCACATACAGTCCAGAGAGGGCCCCTCCAGCCTCCTGGCAGCGCGCCCCATCCTTCTCCATTGGTTCCCGCACCAAGTGCCCTGTGGTGGACGCTGTCCCTTCGCCTAACAGTTACACCCTGCCTTCCCTGCTTGGCCCTCGCGTCCCCATCAAGCCCTCCAGCCCTGGTTTCACCATCTCTGGCTGCAACACCAGAGGCAGCTACTCGGAGGACCTCTCCCAAACCCCAGGCCCGGGTTGTTACAACACCACGGATCCCAGCGTGTATTTGTGCCGCCCGCCAGCATTCTCTATGCTTGGGAGGACCACGAAGCCGACCAGCCCTTTCCACACGCCGGGGCCGGGGGCCCATAGCCCGGAGAAGGTGAGGGTTCATAAAAAGAGAGCGCCTTCTTACTCGCTTGGAGTCCGTCACTCGGACTACCTTATGCCTCTCATGACAGAGCCTCCAGAATGGTAGCTGAGTCCACCAACCTCTTCTTGAGTCACTGACTCCAAGATTTCAAAGGAAGGGCAAAAGAACCCATTTTAATCAAACTACTGTACTATGAGGTCAACATGGACAAGCAATGATTGTTCTGGATGCAAGACGGGGGTCTTTCCAAGTGCTATCTGGACACGCCAGCCATCAGACATGAGACTTTCTGAACCCAGAATGAAAATGCGGCGTATGCTGACCCACACAAGTGTTGTGTTGGGTGACTAAGGAGAATCCTTGCCATGCCACAGAAGTCCAAATAGGCATGGGCTGGAACAGTGTCCCTGAAGACAAGGACTGCCACGTCCAACAAAACTGGGTTTTGCAGACAACACTACACGCTGCTTGTTGGGTATGCTCGGTTCTACTGGAAGAAGAATGGGCTTCAAGGGGGCAAACGGTTTTAAAAAGTCAGGAGGGTTGGAAATGGGGCACTGCAGAAAGACAGCCAAGTGGTTGTGGCCACTTTAAGTTGCCACAGCTTCTGTCTGAAGAGGCAGAGCTAGAAATGAGGAGGCGGGGCTAAAACTGCAGCCGCTATTAAAGGCAGCAGTGGACCCCTGCCAGCTGCTAACACAATGTTCCTTAGATGGTTGCTGCTAAGGATTTTGGGTTTCTAGGACTAGGTATCCCATCATTCCCATTCTGAGAGTCCTACCTTGCTTATATATGCCTGACAGATACTTACATGTGCCTCACCTGGGAGACAAGGCCTAAACTGGAGGACTTTGAGGCCAAGCTAGGCCTAGCTTCCTGTTCAGAAAGGAAGTTCCCAGCTGGTCCTGGAGAAGGAACAGGAAGCTCGGATAGAGCTAGCCCTCAAAACCCTTTTCTTCCTCAGATAGTTTAAAAGGGCTTCAACCCTTTTCTTTTGTTTTTTCCCCCTTGTTTTTTGCTGAAGCAGACACCTCAGGGAAACTGGGCAATTCCAATCACAGTGGTACCTCGATTTAAGAACTTAATCCGTACTGGGACTGCGTTCTTAAGTCAAAACATTCTTAAATTGAAGCACCATTTCCCATAGGAATGCATTGAAAACTATTTACAGTGGTGCCTCGCATAGCGAACGCTTCGCTATGCGATGAAACCGCATAACGAAAGGTCCCAGGCCATCGCTGGAGCGTTCGCTCAGCGCTGGCCCCTATGGGCTTTTTTCGCTATGCGATGATCGCGCGGATGCGATCAAAGCATAGCGAACAGCTGATCGGCGGTTCCAAAATGGCCGCCGCTAAAACAAAATGGCGACCGCTGTTTTGCCTCGCTAACGAGGCATCCAAAATGGCCGCCGCAATGGAGGAAACTCGCACAACGGTGAGTTTTAAGTCCATAGGAACGTATTAAATAATTCCAATCACAGTGGTACCTCGATTTACGTAAGAACTTAATCCGTACTGGGACTGCGTTCTGAAGTCAAAACATTCTTAAATTGAAGCACCATTTCCCATAGGAATGCATTGAAAACTATTTAATCTGTATCTGCTGTTTTTCGTTAAGTCGAGGTGCTGTTCTTAACTCGAAGCATTAGTTCCCATAGCGAGGCACCAGTGTAATCTGTATCTGCTGTTTTTCGTTAAGTCGAGGTGCTGTTCTTAACTCGAAGCATTAGTTCCCATAGGAACTCATGAAAAGCCGGTTAATCCGTCCTCTACCACTAAGGGGTGAATTTTTTCTTCTTCTTTTGACCTAAAGTGAACTTAGGTCAAAAAAAGGGCAGGAAGGTTTTTTTCCTTTTTTCATTCTTAAGTTCGAAGCAACTTTTTGTGAACAGAGCCATTCTTAACTGGAATCGTTCTTATGTAGGGACGTTCTGAAGTAGAGGTACCGCTGTAATTCTTCTGTGTGTTAGTTAAGGAGCTGCAATGTGCATGGGTTTGCTCGCTGCTTTAAAAAAAAATGGCACAGAGCAAATTTACAAATCTTGTCGTAAGTCTCTGGTGCTGGGAGAAAAGTGAGGTGTGGGTCTTCTTGGCTCAAAAAAAAATTAAATTGAATTAAATTAAAATACATCTAAGCATGCATGCTTTGAGTGCGAGCCGTCCACCACCTTCCTGACCCTCCTTTCTTGGCTGAGCCTTCTGCTCTCACCAGTTCTGTACCTACACGCTCCCCGATGCTTCTTGGGCTGGCGTGATGTGGGGGCTTGAGTCGTCTGAACATGTTCCGGCACCTCAACTCAACTGGGGGATAATCAGCAGCGATAATAAGCTAGCGGCAAGTGGTGAAACCCTTACAGCTCCTGGCTCAGTTTTTCTCGGGGATACTGGCAAGTCTTGGGGTCGGAGTCTTAAACCCCGAGTCTGTGTCCCCATTAAAAACAAGCTTTTTCCCCCCTTGCGAAAAGGGAGGGATGGGTGGGTCTGAGTCATGAATCAGTCGTGAATAATAAAACTAATAATAATAATGAATCGAGTCTGAGTCATTGAGGGGGGGAAAAAACCCGAGCCGAGTCACCGGTGGGACTTCAGTCCGACCTGACAGCGATTCCCTTGATTTGAGTCCCTCTCCTGGGTCTTCGTTAATGAATGCCTTTGCCTGCCGGAGAGAAGGTTGGTGGCGCAAGGTGCCAAAGGAGAAGCCAGCTGGGCTCTGAACTCATTCTGGCCCTCTCTCTTTTCTCACTGGCGAAAGGAAATGCGCGCCAGATCAGGATTTGGCTCTCAAAACCAGGGGTTTACGGCAGGTTTGCTGCAGGCAGGGGAAAACGCAGCCCTCTTTGGACGAAAATGTTGCAGAAGTTATTCATGCCCAAGAAGGTGCAGGGATGTTCTAGAAGATTATCTTAAACGTTGAGGTAGCAGCACCCTTTATACTTGGAGACTCATTGTTGAGGTCAGAGTATCCTGGCTAGAATCTTTTGATCCAGTTTTAAATCAGCACGGCAAAACACAAAATTAGTTCCGAGAGATAAATTTTAGTCTGGGAATGGACTAGGATCCCATGGATCTCCATGGGGGAGATACTGTCAGTTGAGCAGTCACTTTTAAAACTTAGTTTCTGACATGGATTCTGATAAGTCCCGTGCTTTACAATGGTCTGTTGGGCCTAGCCAGAAAGATAGAAGTGCTCCATGAGGAAGAGCCCAAATTAGCTCATTTTTGGTGAGACTGTTCCAAACCGGGCCCAAGGAAGCCGTTGAAGGCCACCCCGAGATATCGAGGCAACTGAAGCAAAGAAAAATAAGAAAGGGCATTCTGTTGCATTGCCTATAACAAGGCTAAGTGCATTCGTGGTTCAGCTTTGACTGAACATCATGCCTGCTTAGTGTGACGGCTGGAAGCTAGCGTCAGGTACACAGTGCGCTGGATAGCGCGAGCTCTTTTCTAAACATCTCCTGCCATGTCCCAGCGCTGGTCACCTGAGATGACCTCTGCCCTCTGGGGTATTCCCTTGAATCCTTCTACCGAGAGCTCCGAAATGGGAATCTGGCGGTGGGCTCCCGACAGCTCAGGTTTGACGCTTGTCCACTCCGGAGTGAGACCAAGCTAGCATGGGATGGGGGTTGCCCTGGCCACCCCGGTCCATCCGGATCACCAGCCTGGAACAGCCTCAGCCCCAGCCTGCTCCTCCCCGTTATTTTGGCTGGCTCCTTCCTTCCAAAGCTAGACAGAAGTTGCCTTGAGGGTTGTGCACCATCAAAAGCAAACATGCACAAAGGGGATGTGAGGATATAGTGCTCATACGACGGTTTATCCGGCGGTCGTCCGGACAGGACAGGTCCTTGGGAAGCCACCTTGAGTTGAACTCCGGAAGCAAACAAAGCCCAACCCGACGAGGACTTGAGTCAAAGAGAGGATCAGAGCCCAAGAGAGTGATGGGTTTGCGCATATTCGCTGTTCTCCATCACAGCAAATTTAGGATGGGATCCAGCCTGCGTCATCCGTCCTCCCATCGAGAGGGATGTTTTCTTCAGCATGATGGGGTGGAGGTGGGGGGCAGCATCCAGCGTCCAGCCGCCGCGGGGCTGGCAGAGAAGCAACCGTACCATTACATCATCGTGTGAACTGATCTTCCCCAGGGGTGGGGGTTGCAGAAGGTTGTGTTGATGTATATGGGGAGGAGGGGTGAGCGGTGGCGTGGCCAGGAGGCGAGGCGAGCGGGAGCGCAAAGGCTCGCCGGAGCACTCTAAAACCACTTAGCCAGACGCGCGGCGACAGCTGGGCATGTGAGCAGCACCCAAGTACGATCGGTTTTGGAACAAAGTGCTGATGACGCCCTTGGAGGAGGCAGCCATGAGCGGCAAGGTCGCTGGGGCCACCCTGGTCCCGTCCCCGACACCGCCCCTGGGGCACCCTCCTTGCCCTCCGCCGCCCCCGACGCCTCCACCTCCACCGGGCGAGGAGCCGGAGTCGGTCACCACCTTCTGCATGTTGATCCCAAAGATGCCTCAGTGGAAATTCTCCAGCCCCTCCGGCTTCCTCAGCCGCAGCCCGTCCAGTGCCAGCAAGGAGCTCACGGCCTCGGCCAAAACGGGAGACACTGAGAGCAGCACTGCGTCGTCGTCGTCCTCAGGCCTGGCCGCTGTCCTCAGTGCCTGTGAGCCAGTCTGCGCCACTCCCTGCAGCCTCCAGGTGATGAGCCGGCTGCGAGGAGGGTTGGCGGCCGGCCGGAAGGCCTCCCGGGCCGAGGGGCCCAAACCCACGGCTGGTGAAGAGTGGAGCCGGAAAGGCAGTTTCATCAGCAAACCGGTCCAAGGTTGGCTCCATCCAGATGACAGCGTCCTCAGCCCTGGTGTCTCCTACATTGTCCGGGTAAGCGACTTCTCTCCTTCGTTCGGGTCTGAGGGTCCGTTCGGGGCAATTCTGGGGCCGGCAGCTGTTGTTTGGACACTGTCCAAAGAACGCAGCACTGGCCTAGTCTGTGGACATCAGCCGGCTGGCGATGGAAGAAGGCCTGGGAATCTCGGGCAGCCAAAGGTCAGGAGGTCAGTTCCTCTCTGGACGGGGAGAGGCGGGAGAGCCACCTCTCCCAGCATCAGGGGAGCTGTAGTTTAACGCTGTCTCGAGGGCAGCAGGTGGGAGAGGCTGTTCTGTTCCAGCCCTCTCCGGCGTGTCCTCACCGAAACTGCTGAACCACCACATATCCCATGACCCTTGGCCACAAGCTGAGCTGGCTGAGGATAATGGGGATTGTAGCCCAGGATAACTGGAAGACGCCTCACAGAGTAAATCCATTCCAATGGCGCTCTCCTCCCTTGGCAAAACAAGGGACTCCTGATTTTAAGATACTGTATAATAATAATAATAATAATCTTTGAACGGCAAAGCTGGATGCAGCCCCATGGGTCAGTGAGTCCCTCTCCTTTTTGTTTACCCAGCGATCAAGCTGGCACTGGGGTGGCATGCAGGCGATAGCGCTTCGCCCCCTTGAGCGGAAGACAAATCTCTGCTCCCCTGAACATTGGGGATTCAAATATCTCCTCGACTCCAAGCACAGCCAGCGTGGCGGAGTGGGTACACGGCTGGAGAAGAGCTGGGTTCAAATCCTGCCTTGGCTGTGAAACCCAGTGAGCGATCTTAGGCCAGTCGATCGCTCTTGTTGTGAGGGGAAGGAAAGCCACGTCCCATGCCAGGAACTCACTGAACACGAAAGCAAGAAAAAAAATAAGAATATAGGAAGCTCACTGTGTGCCTCTCAGGCCAACAATGGTCCCATACAGCCTAACCGGGAGACCTTGTTTTGAATCCCCACTTGCTCATGGAGCTCACTGGATTCCTTTGGCATCATGCTTGTTGTGTGGCCTCCCTCGCAGGGATGTCGCTGTAATGATTGGTGGGGGGAAAGCTGAGAGATCAAGATAGAAGGAAACAAATAAATAAAGAGAAGAGGCACCCATCTGGCAGGCTTGTGGTTCACACAGCACGGTGGGAGGGTTGGAATGAGGCATCGGTGCGGTGCTTTGACGTTTCGGATGATTACAAATGTTCCGTTGCAGTGAAGCAGAGAACCTACAAAAGATCAGAAAATATAATCTAAATATTCTCAATATGGGAAACCAGACTTTTAAACAAAGATCCCCCTTCATCTCTCTCTCTCTCTCTCTCTCTCTCTCCATGTGTGTGTTCTGCTGGAGAGAAGCTCCTTAAGTCAATTAGAAAAGAGAGGGTCAGCTGCTTGGCTAACCCTTTTTCCCTTAATTAATTTAGGGGTAATTTATGTCGTCAGATAAACTGGGGTGGCAAACCCTTCGGCTTCTCCATCTGGCCTCATCTGGTTGCTGGATTATAAATCATTCTTTGTTTGGATGGGTTTCCAGGGGAAAGGACTCACTTGTTCCTGCGCTGGAGGAACGAGAGAGAAACGGGCTGGGAAAGTAGGGTGTTTTGAAAAGAGTTCCTTCCTTTATTATTAAATTGCACCCTTAGGGGGGTTTATCATGGCTCGGATTCAGCAAGGAGTCTGTTGTGATCTGCGTCACACTCAACAGAATCGTGGGGTTTTGAGTTTGGCAGCTACATAATTCTGGGATTCTCCAAGAAGGAGCCAGGGAAACTCAACTCGAACAAAATTACGGGCTTAATATTTGTCCAAAGTCTATTATCATCCGTGAGGCAGATTCTTTGCCTCTTGACTTTAATCATCCTGGGTTTTGTTCCATCCTTTCTTTCCAGTACATGGGATGTATTGAGATTCTGCGCTCCATGAGATCACTGGATTTCAACACCCGAACACAAGTCACCAGGTATGGACTTCCATCCATCCATCCTTCCCTCCCTCCTTCCTTCCTTCCTTCTTTCTTTCCTTCCTTCCATCCTTCCTTCGATCCGTCATCAGGGCCTTCCTTCCTTCCTTCTTTCTTTCCTTCCTTCCATCCTTCCTTCGATCCGTCATCAGGGCCTTCCTTCCTTCCTTCTTTCTTTCCTTCCTTCCATCCTTCCTTCGATCCGTCATCAGGGCCTTCCTTCCTTCCTTCTTTCTTTCCTTCCTTCCATCCTTCCTTCGATCCGTCATCAGGGCCTTCCTTCCTTCCTTCTTTCTTTCCTTCCTTCCATCCTTCCTTCGATCCGTCATCAGGGCCTTCCTTCCTTCCTTCTTTCTTTCCTTCCTTCCATCCTTCCTTCGATCCGTCATCAGGGCCTTCCTTCCTTCCTTCTTTCTTTCCTTCCTTCCATCCTTCCTTCGATCCGTCATCAGGGCCTTCCTTCCTTCCTTCCTCAGCTCCTTCCTTCCTTCCATCCATCCATCCATCACCAGCTCCTTCCTTCCTTAGCTCTGAAATTTGAATCAGGCCAAAGACCTCCCTTGTCAAACATCCTGTTCACAGAGCAATCTAATACACACATACACATCTGGCTTTGTGTGTCAATGACCCATTGAGTTAGTTATGTCTAAAAGACAGCGGCCTCACAGAATTCAAAGCACGGCTGGAAAAGTAGAAGCCCCCACTGGCCAGCAGGGCAGCATGGCTAAGCCCACAGTAAGGTTGGTGGTGGGGAATTCTGGTTAGGTAACTTTTCCAAGTCAGTTACTTACTGGCAATGCCTCGAATTGTCTGGAATTAGGCAATCATTCCAAATTCCTTAGAAAAGACCACCATGCTGGGAAAGACAGAAGGCAGCAGGAAAAGAGGAAGACTAAATACGAGATGGACCGACTCCCTTAGAGGAAGCCACAAAGTTGAGTTTGCAAGAGCTGGGCAGGGTGGCTGAAGACAGGCATCCTTTTAGAGATCACTGATCCACAGTGTTGCCGTAAGGCGGAAGTGACCTGACGGCACAGGACAACCACCGCAACAGTTCCCCTAAGGGCTTCTTGGGATTAATTCCTGTCTTGACACAATCCTTTTTGCTACAGGGAAGCCATCAACCGACTGCATGAGGCAGTGCCGGGCATCAAAGGGACCTGGAAGAAAAAGGTAAGACGGGCACCCCTGTCTCCCACTGTCCTTGGCGTGGACCAGTGACTGATCTCAGGAGGCGGTGAAGTGCCTCTGGGTTTTCGCCTGAACTTTACCGTAAAGTTTGGATGAAAACACAGAAGGAACTCATTTCCCCTGCAAAATCGGAGCTGCTGCCCATCACAGCATCAATTCCCAGCAGCCTTGAGTCAGGAGAGCTAATGCTGTGGGATTATGGGAATTGTAGTCAACAGCTTCAGTGATGCCCTAACATTTCTCCATGCTTGGATGAGCGGTATCCTTTTTAAAGTATGGCAAAGAGCCCCCCCCCCCCCAAATGCCTTGCTCTTCTTCCAAAAAGCAAGGCTAACAGTTCACATCCTGGCTATTTATGATCAGGAGGCTATTGTTGTGTTGGGAGTTAAAAAAATCTGGGGAAATTAATTAAAGATTCATTTCTCATCTAACAAAGAATGGGAGCAGAAGTTGATAAGGTGGCCACCATGCTTCATTATTGTTTTATTAGCTGCACGGTGGCGGGGGAGGTAGCTTTGCTGAGCCTTTGGAAAAGATGCAAATTTATTTAAATGGGATCCATTAACTGATTAATCTGTTGAGACCGAGAATGAATATACTGAAAATCCCATAATGAAAATACTATCCAAACAGTGAAAGAGAGCTAAAAATAAATTTGCCAGAGAACTAGACATGAACCGAGTAGAGGGGGCGTGTTGTGTATTAAGATCTGGTTAAATATTTAATAATGCTGAAGCAGAGCCACCTTGCTGAGTTTTTGATTTCACAAGGAAGGTCTACAGAGGAATATCTTCTTTGCATGCCGATGTTAAATTATACATCTCAGGAGAGGCACTGTCACTCAAAGTAGCTCACGCAGACTGAGACAGGCCAAGGGCCCAATCCATCCTGAAGTTAAGTTCCCAGTCCTCATGCTTCTGGATAAAGGAAGGGAACAAACAACTAACCTATCAGGGAGCCTAGCCAATAGGGAACATCACAATCTCAAATTTCTTACCTAGCGCATAATGGAGTCTAGTAAATAAGGGTGATAACAGTTTCAGATTTATTCCTAGTCTATCATGGTTCCTCGTCAACAGAGATCATCACAATCTCAGATTTCTTACTTAACTATCAGGGCTCCTAGTCAAATAGGGGTGAGATACTCAATCGGAGAGGTCAAACCAGAACAAACGTAGGCATTTAACAGTAGTGCTTCCTGGACCAGTCCCATCAGGGATCCTTCCTAACTGGGAAAAGTCCCTTTCACATCTTTGAATCCGGCCTTTGTTCAGACCCACGAGGAACCTTGTTTTAAGGGAAGGGGGACAGACGTGTTCTGAGATCCAAAGCTTCCAAGTTCCACTCTGAGCATTTCCAGGTTGATCTGGTTAAGACCCCTTTCTGAGATAGTCTGATCTGGTATCAAAGAGACTTTCCTGCCTCTTCTTCGGAGAGTAGCTATTGCTTAGAAATAATAGCGCAGCTTTGCAGGTGAAAAGTCCAAAGCTTGATCTCCAACATCTCCCATGGACAATCTCTTAAGGGAGAGACCCGTTTGTTACCTGAAGGTTCCTGTAAAGTTCGGGTGAAAAAACAGAGTGGATTGACAGTCCCCTAAGAAACTGCCCGCATCGGCCTCCCTTGCCAGCTAGGCATTAAGTCTGACTCTCTGCTTAGTGTAGAAAAGTTTAGGGACTTAAGAATCCTTTGCCGCTGATCCTTTCCCTCTCCGTTCTTCTCTTCCCAGCCACCTAACAAAGCTCTCTTCTCAATTCTCGGCAAAAGCAACCTGCATTTTGCCGGCATTAGTATTGCCGTGAATATCTCAGTGGACGGACTGAACCTCATGATCCCAACCACCCGACAGGTAAGCCCCCTTCCTCCTGGCATGTGCTTCCCTTGGCTATGTGACTCCTCCTTTGGTGATGTGGTGAGAGGAGCCCACGATGCAGCCTTGCAGCCACCCACACTCCCACCCATCCACCCACACTCTGAATCGTTTAATTGAAACTATCGATTAAATCAAGAGTGTGAAAGCCTTACAACGTTTGCAGCTGAAAATAAAAAAGACCTAGCCCATCGGGGATCTCAGAACGAGCGCAGGATGTCACCTGTAAGCGAAATCAGGTCAACCTCCTACCTGTACTAATTCCAGCAGCTGGTGTCGTTCCACAATTTTCAGTTTCATTTCAAACCATGGCCACGAGTTGCTACTTTGCTTCCTGAAATCTTTTTTTTTAAAAAAATCAGTGATTTTGCAAATACTGTATGTCCTCTCACCTGCACATTTTCACCACACATTTCCTAATTTTCAGGCTTGACCCCTTAAGCCTGCTCCTCTGCACCAGCAAAACTGGAGAGCTTAGGAGTTGAGGTCTCTGGCTGTGGAGCCCAAAGTTGGGAGTTCGAATCCTCCCCCCCCCCCCGAGCTCATCAACAGGGGCTGAACTACATGATCCAAAGAGTCCCTTCCAGCTCTGCAGTTCTATGATTATATAGCTGGCTGGATAGCTCAGGGGTTTTGGTATTTTGGCAGTGGAGTACAAGGCTGGGAGTTTGAATCCCACACGGGGCCTCCTTGACAGAGGCTGGACTGGATGATCTCTAGGGTCCCTTTCCAGCTCTGCAGTTCGAAGATGAGGATGATGTAAACAACGACAACAGGCTAGGATAAGTGAGGAACCGAAACGGTCAGACTTGAATTCTGGGCAAGCTCAGGAAGAAAAGGCTGGGTATCTGATTCTCCCACATCCCGAAATCAAGCCGTCTGTGTCCAATATTTGTCCTGCAGAGGCTTAAAACAGGATCCTGCGTGGAGGGATCAAGCCAGCGGCTTCTCTCTCTCCCTGGTGGCTTTGACTGAGCGGCTGGCTTTCTCAGCTGACTTTTCTCCCCTCCTGCCTCCCTCACCCGTGTGTGTGTTTTCACCCCATCCCCATCTCTCTCTGCCCGTCTTGTTTCCACCGTAGATCATCGCGAATCACCACATGCAATCCATCTCCTTCGCTTCAGGGGGCGATACGGTAAGGGGGAGGCGATCTCCAAGCCTTGCGCCAAGGGGAGCCGCTTAGGATCCACACAGATCTCTGGGAGCCACACCATGTCAGGCTCGGGAGGGTGGCCAAACCCCATTTTTCTGCCTTGAAGAAAGGCCGCACGGACAGACGAAGGGCTAAAGGCGCTTGGGAGGGATGGCCAGCAAGGGAGCTCCCCTGTCAGAGGGAGGGCCACTCCGCTCTGGGTTTTAGTCTGAAATTTAAACTATCTTTCCAGGGGGCTGGAATCTATCTCCCAAATAGGACAATGGCTTTGAAAGCCTCTTCTATAAAGCTAGGACTAAAATCCGGAAACAGATTAGCTACCACTGTTACCAGGGTCCACGGGGAGGGAGGGAGTGGAAGCCACAGCCAGCCACGAAAGCCACAGGGCCCCAAAAGGATGTTCAGGACTTTGAGGGGAGGTGGTCTGCCTGCCGGAGAAGGACCCGGTGGGATCCAGCTCCCAAACTCTGCAGATCACGTCAAGGCTTCCTTCACCGTTTGGGCCACCTCATTCGGGTGCCGGGAGGGGAGGGGTGGTGAGTCTGCTCCCCGTTTTGAAGGAGAGACACCTGAAGGGTCAAACCCTGTAGGGTCCTGACGTCAGAAACATGCCCATGGAGAGGCTGTGAGAAGGTTTGCTCCGTTCGTCCGTCCATTTCCCAGATCAAACACTCCGTACCTTTTGTTATTCATTGGTCAAAATGGTATTCGTTTTGTTATTCACTTGCCTTTGTGGCTCTCATACACTCATTCCTTCCTTACGCACTCCGGATCTTTCAACCCTTCATTTTACTTCTCCTCCGCTTTCAAGCAGTGGTGGCTGCCACCGGATTCGTATCCAAGCCCCATCTTCGGTGAGGTTCCCCCTCTCATTTCCCAGAATGCCATGCTGTGTCGGTATAGGGCATTCTGGCAAGCAGGGAGACCGGCTGCATCACCACCAGATAAATTTAACATGGTTGGGATCTCTACTCGGCTCATACAACCACTTTATATGGGAGAGCGAGTGATTTGCTGACCGCCATGGAAGGAATATCCTGCCCTTCATGGAGACTCGAACCCAGTTCTCCCAAGTCCCTGACCTTACAAAAAAAAATATTAAAAAAATTTAAGCCAGTGTCTTCTCCAAATCTTAGTCAGGGGTGATAGTTGTATTAATATCCTCAATCAAAAAGCAATAAAATAAGAATTTTTAAAAATTGCAGGAAAAAATAATTTTCTTCTACATCTTCTTTTCATTCCCTGTTTCCTCTCTCTCTCTTCCCCCCCCCCTCCAGCTATAGTTCTGACTAACTAGCACTGGCATCCTGAACCCTCATTCTGTCCTTTTTAAATTGTGTTTTTGACCAGGACACGACCGACTACGTGGCGTATGTGGCAAAGGATCCCATTAATCAACGAGGTAAGAGCTGGGCAGTACACCGAAAGAAAGATGAGCTTTTCAAAAGGGTTTGGGAACGGGGGTGGCAATGCTTTTAAAGGAATAGAATAAATTGTTTTGCGCTGTATTTGCATTGCTAAACTCATACAGTGATTCTTGGACAAAAAAAAGTTAGGAGAAGATTTTACATGAAGCACGGCTGTGCACGGACTCTGGTTTGGTTTTGAGGCTGATCGGGGGCTTCAGAAGGTATCCTGATAGGGTCCAAAATGATCTGTGCCCCATTCAAAGACATTTTTCAATTCACTTTGCCCCAGAATCAAAACCTGCTGTTTTGGTTTCATAAAAGCCACTCCCATCTGGATTTGAGATTGGGACAAACCTGGCGCACGACCCTAATTTAGAGGAAGTGTAAAGGGGAGCGACAGTCCTCCATCCACCTGGAGAACTGGCTTCTCAGAGAAGTGGGATGGACCTGCCTAGTGGTTAAAAGAGACAAATATATTTTTAAGCACATCCTACCGCGCAGGGTGGGAAGCAAAGACAGACCAAGTCTGTTTCCGACTTTTAGCATGCCATATCTTGGAATGTTGTGATGGATTGGCCCAGAGCATCATCAACACCGTGGGACAGGCCTTTGAGCTTCGCTTCAAACAATACCTGCACAGCCCTCCGAAGACCACGGCGCCGCAGGAGAGGTAAGTAGCCGAGCCTGGAAAAGTGAAGGAAAAAACCAAAACCCAGATGGCCCAAGAAAATTTCTTTTTCCCATCAGAAAGGGAGCTGAGCTTGGTAAAACTGTCCACTCTCGAAGGTCTACCTACTTTATATGGACAACCGAAACGTGGCTCCCCTGGGGAAAAGCCCTGTGGATGGAGGGCTTGGTGGCCGAGCTGGGCATAAGCTTCCACTTCCTGTTCTAGCTGGGCCTTTCTTTCTGAGCAGGAAGTCAGGCCTTTCGTCCAGGTGAGCCACATTTGGGTTTTGCAAAGGCTCTTTGGAGTGGGCAGAACTGCCGGAATGGGGTGTGTGTGTGTGGGGGGGGGTTGATGGGATTTGCAGTCTAGGAAAACTGAAAACCCATCCCTGCAATCAACCATAAATTACTCCACGCTGTGGATTTCTGAAAGGCCTCCCGGATTCTCCCAGTTAGACCCTGAAACTTTGTTTTAAGGATGAGAAGATTAACATTCAGTGGGATAATCCCCCCCCGCTAAATCCAAGGATGTTTTTAAAATGTTCCCAAGCTGTTTTTAATGCACTTTCTGTCGTGTTCCATAGCCCATCGCCCCAATAAAGGACCCCCGGTCTCTACTTTTCTTGATGTTTCTCTCTGGCCAGGGCAATGGGAACAGAAGACCTTGTCTGGGGGGAGGAAGAGGAGACGTCTGAGCACGACTACTACAACAGTATTCCTGGAAAAGAGCCCCCGCTCGGCGGGCTGGTGGATTCCCGCCTCCACCACAGTGCCTCGCTGAGTCACATGCCATTTTCCTATGGAACTCACTGCAACCAGGTGACCACATATTTCCCCATACATGCTGCAGTGCTTTGTAGGTTCGGTCTGGCTCCCATGGGAACCACTTTGGGTTTTAACCTGATTTACCCTTAGCACTGCTGGTCTAAGGCAGTGCCAGAGCCATGCTCCACAGCTAAAAAGCAATGCATTGTTTGCAGGATGTCTCAGGCAGGTCTGGGCCATTCGACCCTCTTCTGCTTCATTGAGGGACCCATTGGGAGGCCGCCCCACCGCTCTTTGGTTTACTGAAAAATTAATGCTCCTTGTTTTAGGTCTCTGGCTGAGAGCCAGAGGCTGGGAGTTCGAATCACCCTCTGGGCCTCCTTAACAGGGGCTGGACTCAATGATTCCAGCTGTGCAGTTGTAAGGAGGAAAAAGGCACTTGAAATGTCATTTTCATGGATTGAGGTGTGTGCGGAGAACGAGGGGCCTGGAGAGAGTAGTACAAACCTTTGAGGATCTTATGCCATCTGGAAGCTCAGACCTTGCCAAATCCTGACCTTGAAAGAGCTAGTTCTACACTCCATTTGGGGGCTCAGGGCGCAGTCAGACAGGTGCAGAAGCCGGATCACATCAGCAAGCGTCACGGTAATGAGAGTGATCTGCCTTAAGGCGGCCCTTCCATCTGCTGGGGAATGGCTCCAGCCCAGCCCTCAAAGGGAGAAGCCTTACAATGGGACCAAAAAAGGTCCGGCTTGGACACGGATCGAGGTTGGGCTGGATTGCACGGCTCCGCGTGTCGTGCGGTTGCCAGGAAACAAACCTCACTGGTCCGCTCCACAAGCTTTCCAAACGGCGATCTACTGTGGAATCGCGCCCTTAGTGAGCGACACAGATCCTGCGGCTGAACCTTCTTGCCAGCCTGGTTGTTGAACCTTTTAATGCCTCGCCTCCGTATCACGAATCCCATCACCTCAGCCTCATTGAAGGATTCTTGAGAACTCGAAAGCTAGCTTTTTTGGTGACTTCTGAGTTGCCCTGATGTATTATCCCACTCCAACGATGGATTAACCTCTTTATAGCAATCGAAAAAAGACGATGACTGCCTCCAAGTTAACCAGGCATCTTGATTAAAAAGGGGGAGAAAGTCTTGTTAATGTTTAATAGCAGTTTTGTTTTAAAGATAAAAATAAAATTTGCAGTAGGAAGCGGGTCCGGCCTTCTTGTCTTCCGGAGGGAGCTCTCCAGAACTTGAGAAGCCGAACAAAGTGGGCGTTCCACAGCTGAAGGATGGGTTTCAAATGAACTGTCGACTACAACACCCAGCATGCTTCCCAAGGGTGGATGGGAGCTGTAGTCCAAAACATCTAGAAGATCGCACTTCGCCCAGCCTTCTGGTACTGGAATGTGGGTGTTCCCATTTTTTTTTAAAAAAAAAAGAATGAAGTTCTAGTCCTCATGGGACAGATTCAACTAAAAAGATACGAAGCCGGCTTGTACTTAATCAGTTGATCGGTCCATTGAATTCAATCCTCTCCTGTCTGACAAGCCGTGACTTTAGTTTTTTGGACACAGGGGGCTTCCAAAAGGGATATGCCATTTTTTTCTTTTCTTTTCAGACTCTTCCTCCCAGAATTCCCCAGAGCCAAATTCTGGGAATCCCAGCCCACAGACTGACACCTACATTTTGCTCACCTGGACCTGAGCCTGCAAGGCCTTGCTCTGGCCTTGCTCATGGACGAAAGAGGAAGTTGCCACCAGTGCTTCCTGGGAATCCATCATATGCCCTCTCACTCAACCTTTTCCAGTGTGCACTCGCTGAGCGACAGACACTCTGGAAAACGGAGACTACCGTCTGTACGATTACTATTCAATATGCAGTAAACCAAACAAGGCATTGGCTTATATATGTCTTTCTTGCTGGTTTCCAACAAATATCATGAAACCTTTTAAATGAAAAATGGGAGAGAATAATTTGGTTTCAAAATCCCTTTATAAAAGCAGCCAGGGGTAAAGCTCTCTGTTCGAGAAGAAAGTTTCACTAGATAAGAGCTACCGCTGAATACCCGCATAAGGCGGCTGATCCTCAAGCAACATATATAGCTGTCGTGTCTATAACCACTGATTGCCAGGAGCAGAGCATCAGTTTTACATGTCAAAGGTTCAAGCCCAGCATCTCCAAGGAGAGTTTTATATGTCAAAGGTTCAAGCCCAGCATCTCCAGGGACAGGGATGGGAGGAAATGGCTATCAGTCAAGAGTTGGCAACGCTAGGCCAGATGGACCAGTGGTTTGGTTCTGAGTAAGAAGATTTCCTATTAGATGGGACACACAATGTTACTAGAAGAGGTGCTCCTTCAAGAGATGAAAATGGTCAATTTGTCATAACATATGATGTTCCTTACCTATATATTTTGAAAACAGCCAGTGTGGTGTAGTGGGTATAGAGATGGACCTGGGTTCACTTGGCCATGGACAATTGTTGGTGGGGCTGGGGGGTGGGGAGAATGGTCAACCTCTCTTGAATATCTCACATACAGTACCTTGGAAACGCTACTGCAGTTACTATGAATTGGAAGTGACGTTGCCTCCATCAAGGTGCTTAGTTACCTCAGCCCTACAGTGGCAACTTGTTTTTGATCTTTTCCAAATCTTTTCTCCTCAAGGTTGGATCTCCCGCTCGGAGAGACCACAGCAGCCATTCAAACCTGAACTGGGAAGCCGATCTTTATGGTAAGAGTTATTTGGTGAGGTGGACAAAAAACTGTGGATCCTTGGGATATCAAGGAAGATGGGCAGGCAAGTGTTTGGAGGGGGGACATGACTTACCTGGTGTCCGAAATGCGCATCAGGGACTCCGCTCCGTGCTTTGCTCCGAACATGACCCGCCCACCAAGTATGCACCCGTTGACTTTCTCCCCATTGGGGGTTTTTAAGTTGCATTTTTATTGCACTGATGTACATACATTAAAAACAGAAGCTGCTTTAGCACTTCCCAGGAGTCATAGTCTCACTGCCAGTTAGGCTTTATAGAAGGCACCTTCTACAGGACTACGACTCCCAGGGAAGCTTTCGCTTTGAAAAGAGGACAGGAAGCAACAAGAAACAGGAAGGCCGGTAAAATCACTCAAAGGCCCATGCGTGGGGGAGGTAAACCCCTATCAGTGTGACAAATGGGGATTCACAACTTCACTTGCCCGAATTCCTGAAGAATTTTTGGGATGGAAGCCTGAAAAGCATGTCTCGGGACCCCAGCTCTGCTCAGGAGTGTCCTCCCAGGAGCGGGGCAATGACTAGGGAAAGGAGGGCGCTCTTCGCTGATGTACGGGCAGTGGTCTTCATGGCTGTTTTCTTGCAGGACAGAACTGTAACGGCTACGTTCAGGCGGACGGGAAACCTCTGGGCTCTCAAGATTACGAAGATCATATGTATGTAAACACACAGAATTTAGACAACTGGGAGGCGGAGACTGGAACATCCCGGGCTCTTGGGGAGAGTCCTCCCAAAGACCTCTTTGATATGAGTAAGAGACTGTTTTGACCTGTAGGGGGCAGGGCTGAGTTATCAATAGTCCCTCTAGGGGTCGGGTCTGATACTGCACCTTTGAAAGACATGAACGGAGATGATGGGAGAAAGCAATCGTTTCTCTGTCGCTTGGGATTGAAAAGACACTGAAGAAAATTCAGCCAACAAGGCCTTTAGAAGAGTTACTCCAAAAGTAACTTTTGAAAATAACTAGGAAATTTTATTCCTGATGCCCTCAACAGGACCTTGTAACCACTCATTGCTTTGCTTTTGAACTAAAACTAAGTTACTCACTTCTTGTCACCAGCAGCTATGTTACTTGTAACTAGTTCCTTCCAGGCACTGATGAAAGCCACACACGTTTGTACAGTTCCTTGAGTAACCGAGAAGGAAATGGATCGTGTGAGGCTGCCGCATTTAGCAAACCTAACAGGAATGACAAAATGCAGAAGGATAATTTGAGCCTATTTATTACTCTTTCTCTTTCTTGTTTAAATGAATAATTTCATCTCAGTGCCTGGGAAAGTTTGCTCATCTGCACAAAGGAGCCGGGGCGGGGGGGAAGAGAGAAATGACTTTTTTTAGGACTGCCCCGTGGCCTTTACCATCATAACCCACACTAGGGTGAAAAGTTCTTCTACAGTGTGAACTGCTTCTAATTTCAAAGTTGTTTTCACACGGCACAGAAGTTGACAGAATGCTACTCCCACCTTGTGAATAACAATTTATTAGCATCACCTTCCCACTCCAAACTAATGCGGAGGGTGCGTTATATAAGAACCCGTGGCGGAAAAATAAAATAAAATAAATTAAAACTGCCATTGCTGCCCCATCAGCTGAATGGGGGAGAGGGGAAGCTGTGAAGTTTACTTGCGATGGGAAGTTTCTTCCTCTGCGTTTTGCAGCTGAGCTGAACGTGGGATCCTAAAAGTTTAGTTCAAATGCCTCCGGGTGCTCCACCCCACTGAGCGATCCCAGCTCCCTTGAAATATAATAGATGCGATGAGATTAATAATGTTGAGAGGCAATGTGGTGTTGCAGCTAAAGGGATGGACTGGGACTCAGGAGACCCGAATTCAAATCTCTGCCCAGTCCCAGGGCTACCCTTCAGGGAATTCGAAACTCCCTGAAGGGTGGCCCTGGGAAACCATTAAATGTCACACATGTTAGGGTCACTATATGCCGGATACAACTTGACAGCATGTGACGACAAACAAGAGCAGGCCGCTAATAAGAATAACATGGTCGTGTTATGGTGCCAGGGCCTTTTGAAGACGCTTTGAAGCTTCACAATTCCATGTCTGCTTGTGGGGTGTGGAATGGCGCCCCGATCGAGGACCAGTGGCCCAGCCCGCCAACCCGCAAAGCCCCCATTGCCCCCACGGAAGAGCAACTGAAGCAGGAGCCCTGGTACCATGGCAAGATGAGCCGGCGGGATGCGGAGAAGCTGCTGCAAAGGGATGGAGACTTTCTGGTGAGGGACAGCATCACCAACGCTGGCCAATACGTCCTGACTGGGATGCATGGGGGGCAACCGAAGCATCTGCTCCTGGTGGATCCCGAAGGAGTGGTAAGCATCCCCGTGGGCGGAGTTTTCTGTAGCAAGTGAGAGAAACAGTGTGTGTGGTGTTGTGTGTGTAAATTAGTTTCCGTGCTGCTGGGCAGAGAAAGAAATACGGGGTAGTGTAATGTTTGGAAAGCTGTTTCTAGCACTGTAAGAAAATGCCACGTGGCCGGTTCTCTGTGTTGACAGCCATATTTTCCATGTGCGTAAGCCAAATGATGGTAAGCTGCCGCTGTAAATTGTCACTGTTTAAATGACGTGCTACTTGTGTTACCTGTTATGTGCCTGTTGCTGACGGGGCACCTGACCAGGAATGCAACCTGCACTTTGTGAATTAGAAACAACCTGTTGCTCTGAGGTACAGGATTTCACCTCCCCACACATACGTTGCCAACAGAATTGGAAGAGCGCACAGGGGCCATTGAGTCCAACCCGCAGCCATGCAGGAACTCCATCAAAGCACTCCCAACAGATGGCCATCCAGCCTCTGCTTAAAAACCTCCAAAGAAGGAGACTCCACCACACTCCAAGGCAGCCTCTTCCACTGCTGGACAGCTCTGACTGTTAGGAAGTTCTTCCTGAGATTCATGTGGAATCTCTTTTCCTGTCGTTCGAACCATTGCTCCTTGTCCTAGGGTCTGGAGCCGTGGAAAACAAACCTGTCCTTCCTCGACATGACATCCTTTCAAATATTTAAACATGGCTATCATGTCCCCTCTCAACCTTCTTTTGTAAGGCTAAACATTCCCAGCAACCTAAGCTGCGCCTCATAGGACATGACTTCCAGACCTTTGGCCATTTTGGTCGTCCTCCTCTGGACACGTTCCAAGTTGTCAACCTCCTTTTTGAATTGAGGTGCCCAGAACTGGACACAAGACTCCAGGTGAGGTCTGACCAAAGCAGAATAGAGTGGTACTATCCCTTCCCTTGATCTAGATGCTATAATCCTATTGATACAACCAAGAATCACATTGGCTTTCTTGGCAGCCACATCACACTGGTTGACTCATGTTCGGCTTCTGGTCTACCAAGACTCCGAGATCCCTTTCACAGGTACTGTTGTCTAGCCAGGTGTCTTCCATCTTATATCTGTGCAGTTCATTTTTTTCTGCCTAGCTGTAGGACCTTACATTTCTCCCTGTTGAAATTCATTTTCTTAGTTTTGGCCCAGGACTCTAATCTGTCAGGGTCATTTTGAATTTTAATCCTGTCCTCTGGGGAATGAGCAACCCCTGACAATTTGGTATTGTGGCAATCTCCTACAGGTATCATCTGCAACTTTAATCAGCATACTCTCTATTCCTTCATCCAAGTCATTGAAAAAGATGTTGAATAGCACAGGGGCCAGAAGAGAACCCTGGGGGACCCCACTAGTTACCTCTCTCCAGGATGAAGAGAAGCCATTGGTGAGCAGCCTTTGGGTTCGGTCAGTCAACTAATTACAAATCCACCAAACAATAGCACTGTCTAGCCCACATTTTACTAGCTTCCTTGCAAGAACATCATGGAGAACTTTTCCAAAGGCCCCTCTGAAATCAAGATATGCTACATCCACAGCATTCCCTTCATCTATCAAGCCTGTAACTCTATCAAAAAAAAGAGAGAGATCAAATTAGTCTGGCATGACTTGTTTTCGAGAAACCTGTGTTGACTTTTAGTGATGACAGCATTGCTTCCTAAGTAATAACAGTCTGTTTAATGACCTACTCTAGAATTTTCCTGGGAATTGATGTCAGGCTGACTGAGCAATAATTATTGGGGTCTTCTTTTTTTCCCCTTTTTGAAGACAGGGACAATATTTGTCCTCCTCCAGTCTGTGGGGACTTCTCCTGTCCTTCAGGAATTCTCAAATATTATTGCCAATGGTTCTGAAATGACTTCTGCCAGTTCTTTTAATATCCTTGGATGTAATTTGTCTGGCCCTGGAGACTTGAATTTATTTAGAGTAGCCAAGTAATCCTGTACTACTTCTCTACTGTATTCTGTGCTGCATTTCCCCCACTACATCACCTGCTCTTCGCCCCTCAGGTTGAGCGTCATTTTCCGTTTTGGAGAAAACTGAGGCAAAGAAGCTGTTGAGAAGTTCAGCCTTTTCCCTGTCCTCTCTTAGTAGTTGGCCATCCTGTCCATGCAGCGACCCCATCATTTCCTGGTTTTGCCTTTTGCTGCTGACATAGCTAAAGGATTTCTTTTTATTTTCTTTAATCTCTCTAGCAAGCCTAAGTTTGTGCTGTGCTTCAGCTTTTCTTACCACCCCCTGACATAATAGTGGCTATTTGCTTGTATTCCTCTTTGGTGTTTTCCCCATTTTTCCATTTCTTGTACACGTTTTTTTAACAGTTAGCTCAGCTGAAAGTTCTTTTGTCAACCATTCTGGTTACTTTAGACATCTCCCTTTTTCCTTCTTATTGAAACAGTTTTAGATTGTGCCCTTTTAAGAAATTCCCATCCATCCTGAACTCCCTTCTATTTCAGTATCTTTGTCCATGGAATTACAGCCAGTAATTCCCTAAGTTCACTGGAACTGGCCTTCTTAAAGTCTAGAATGCGTGTCCGGCTGCACTTGGCTTCCCCTTCCCTCTGTATAATAAATTTCAACAGGACACGAGCAGATTCCAAATTATTCTCTAGGTATGGAAGGGCAGAATCTGATTTCTTCCGTTCGATTGTGCACGGTTTCTAAGCTTGTACAAGGCGGTGTTCCACAATGCTTCCATGTGCAAATTCAGACACTGCCTAAGTGCTTGGTCAAGAGACTGTAGCACAAGTGGTGAGTACAAGCAGGATTCTGGCCTCCTAAGTGCCATCTGGTGATTGTCCAGCCCAGTAACCGTGTCACCCTAGCTAGTATCCACAGTTATCTTAGTTTGGTTCCACTTGAAAAGCCACGGCTCCTTCTCCTAAGGAATTCTGGGAACTGTAGTGTTGGGAGGGAAGGAACATTCTGCGCTGTAGCACTGTAGCACTACAGCGCTGTAGCACATTTCCCTTGGTCTTGGCTGTTACTCCAGGTGCGGACAAAGGATGCCCTGTTCGAAAGCATCAGCCACCTCATCAACTACCACCTGCAAAATGAACAGCCAATTGTAGCAGCAGAGAGCGAGCTTCACCTGCGGCAGGTGGTGAGGTGGAAGCAGTGAGGACAAGGTATGGACCTGCTATTCTTGTTGTGGCCTAAGGTGGGGACGATGGGATCGGGTTTTGACTCTGAAACAGAAATGGGGACTCTGTAGCCCTCCGTGTGACGTTGGGATGCAGCTTCCTTTGTCCTCAGCCAGCAAGGCCAGTTGTTAAGGATGATGAGATCTGCAGTCCAGCAGATGGACTCCAGATCCCACCATCCTGAACAACTTTCCAATCCAAGCAAAGGTTGCATACCTGGAAGTTTTCAACATTGGCTTGTGGAACTCCTCACCACAAGACACGGGGAAAGCTGGTGGCAGGGCCCGGAAGAGTCATTTCTTGGCTATGCTGGTTGGTATGGGGATACTAGCAGCTGTAATACTAACAAGTAACTGTTCCCAGCTCGGTTTGGTCTGTACTTTAAAACAGGAATGGGGAAAGTGTGGCCTTCCATTGTGTACTAATCTACAACTCTCCCGAGCTAGCAGAGCCGGCAGTCAGAGATGATAGGAGATGTAGTCTGACAGCACCCAGACATCAAGATGAAAAAAAAATGCTTTAAAGCTACTTCAGAGGCAGGAAAAGTTAGTGTTTGGAAAATAACCCCCTCTATTCCACCAGGGATGTGGTGGCGCTGTGGGCTAAACCGCAGAAGCCTGTGCTGCAGGGTCAGAAGACCATCAGTCGTAAGATCGAATCCACGCAATGGAGTGAGCTCCCGTCGCTTGTCCCAGCTCCTCGCCAACCTAGCAGTTCGAAAGCATGTAAATGCGAGTAGATAAATAGGTACCATCTCGGTGGGAAGGTAAAACGGCGTTCCCTAGTCATGCTGGCCACGTGACAACGGAAAACTGTCTTCGGACAGGCGCTGGCTCTATGGCTTGAAAAGCAGGATGAGCGCCGCCCCCTAGAGTCGGACACGACTGAACTAAAAATGTCAAGGGGAACCTTTACCTTTACCTTTATTCCACCAGCCACAGGATTCTCTCAGACACACAAATTAATGGAGAAACAGAGGCAGTTGCCTTAATACTGAATTAGACTGTTGACCTGTCAAACCCGCCATTATTGACAATGGGTTGGCAGCAGCTCCCCCCTTATTCCAGCGAGATCCTTTCTGAGCCCTCCCTGGTGATTCGATGCCTCTGCAGGTCAAGGGGAGATATAGAGGATTCTGGCTCTAACCCCTGAGCAAAACTGCTAATAATGGAACTGGCTGCTTGTTTTTTGCCGACAAGAGTTACTCCCAACAGCTTTCGGCTTTCAAGTTCCACCTACTTTGCTTCATCTTTTTTTAAAATTTTCTGGACTTCTGCCTGTTCTCCTCTTCATCGGCAGAAGCGATTACTTGCCTCTCCCTCAATTTTTAAGGTCATCATTTTCTGGGCCTCCTCCTCCTCTTTCTTAACACTTTTGCTTCTTATCACAAGCTTGCTGCTACCTGTCTTTTCTGAAGGAAGGCCAGGGAAGAAGGTGCCCAATCGCATCTTCCTACCCCCAATTTTTAAGCACTAGCATATCTGAAGGATTTTCTCCCTCCTGGTTGGTGGGGGGACATTTAGGAGGAGGAAGAGAGTGCAAACAAGTGGAGCAGGGTTTTGAGCTGCTGTAAAAACCTGCCAAACCTGTTGGAAAAGAAAGCTGGAAGCCAGTAAATCAGACATCAAGTTAACCCCCTAGAGGGGTTCCCGTAACTTAGTTCCAACTAGAGAAGACCCACTGAATCATTGGGATGTACATAAGTGTCAGCAATGGATGATATGAGTTTACTCTAAACTGGGTTTACGACCATTTGTCCTGTTTAAACCAAGACCACTTTAACTGATTTAACAAACACCTCCTTTTTACCCACGATAGTCAGTTTGAATGAACAGCCTGAATCTGTTGCTAGCAGCACCAGCTAAAGGCGATGGCCATTTAAGGGTAAGCCAACACACCCAGATACCCCCACAGATTCTGTGGCCAGAATCCGGTGGGTTAATCTACACCGGCATCAGCCAAACGGCTTAACCTGCAGTAGTGAGTCGCTATAAGTCACAAAGTCAAGGCTTCCATTCCCCTCGTGCTGAGTCACACGACTGACACGTGACCACGGCTACCAGCTTCTTAAGCAAGCAGCAATGGCTTAAGTGAATGTATGGAACTAATAGGATTGCAACCAATTGGTCTCCTGGAGTTGAGACAACCAACTGGATTTGGGCTGCTATCAGGGAATCACACACCATGTGACATAAACGAGAGTTAAGCAACAGGATATACACAGATACCTGCGATAAAAACACTGTCCGGAGCAGCTGATGGTGGTGCAACAGGAGCTTAAGAAGCCTTCTACTGGGTCAGGCCATTGATCTGTCTTAACTCTGACCAGCCAGATTCTTCCATAGCCTTCTCTGGAGATCCCTATTACACCCTTGTGGTCTTTTAATTGTAAACACGGCTGACCCTGCTTAGAATCTCTAAAATAAGAAGAGATCACACCAATAAGATGCTGGGAAAGCCAGCATGGGGTGATGTTTAGCGTGCTGGACAGAAGGAACCTCATGGGATCTGGGTTCGAATCCCCTCTTGGCTACTCAAGTCATGGGGAGATCTGGGTCATCTTGTCCAGGTCTGACTGAACCTATAGGATTGTTATAGACACAATAGTGGGAGGGGCAAACCTCTGTCTGCCGCTGTCAGCTCATTGGCAGAAAAGCGGGATATAACTCATAAATAAATATATAATACAGATGGATTTCTTTCTTTCTCAGGAATCTGGGCCTCTGTGCAGAAACCTACATTCTACTTCTCTGACATGTCTTTGCGAATAACGGACTTTTGCTAAAAAAGAGAGATAAACACGTACACACAAGACAACCTGGGAACTGTGGGTTACATCGCCCTCTCTCCCATCCTTCCTTGTTTGTCCCCACCCTATTCCTTTGCAACTCGTCTCGTCTTGTGTTTTCCTCAGCTTTTCAAACAGGCTAGAAAGGGAACTGCGGAAAGCAAAACCAGCCTACCTTGCAGGGGTGTGCTGGCCATGCCAAATGGGGCTTCTAAGATGAATCCGTCGCTTTCCTGAGTTCTGGAGGAACAGTGTTTCCAACATGGAGCTTCTTGGATGCCTTTGAGATTAAGCAAGAAGAGAACGGGGTGGTGGTGGAAGGGATGGTGGGTGAGTAGAGATGACTTAGGAGAAGCCGATCTCCTGCATCCTGGATCTTATAAGAAAACTGCAAATATCATGATGGGAAACAGATTCTGTCGGCCGTTGGAAGTGTGACATGGTTTTCTGTGGTCATTTGGTTTCCTGCAACTCAAGCAGGCTATGGCCGCTCATTATATTTCTGAGGGCCTTGGGCCCTTTCGAAGAATATGGAGTTGTTCAGAAAAAAGAGAAAGAGACACGCCGAAAGAGAACCCAGCAGGGTGGTTTTGCAGGGCGGTCTCCTAAATCTTTCCCCAACTGCTTCAGGACTTGGGTTTCTAATTCTGGATGCTATATAGTCACAAAGGAAGAGGAGCAGGAAGAACACTGGGTGGTTACCTCATTCCTCTAGGTTTGCTAGGAGCATTAAGACCAGATTAGGTGGTAGAGACACCGATGTTGTTGTTCTTCAGTGAGAAACGATAATAGTGAAGTCTTGCAGAAAATCTGCAAACAGGTAAATTGGGAAGGCTTTGCCTCTGGGACACCAGGTGGCGCTGTGATGCCAGATGATTTTTATGCTGGCCTCTCTTTGGCCGCTCAGCTCTACAATGGAAGTCTCTTCTCTAGGAAGGCAATGGTTGCTTCTTTATGATCTACCCCCATTTTTGCACGGAAAGATTTTCCTTCTACAATACTTTCCTTTCCTGGGGGCCTACATCTGTCAATCCGCAATGCGTACCTGGAGAATTTTTAACCTTCACATAATAAGATGGTTCGATAAAAACAGATTTCTACCGAGCAGCACTCAAATGAGCAGAAAGCACTGCTGTTTTGAACACATTTCTCATTAAACACTGAAGCGCTGGAAGTCACCTCCAGTCTTTTTTCTTTCTTTGCTCAGCCTTTAAAGTATTTCTATTTAAGGATGTATTCCATCTGAACTGCTCAATTTTTCTTTAAATGGCACACAATAAAAACATTTAACACCGCAGTGCTGTGTAGACTAATCTGGGAGCTGCTCTGTTTCATGAAATCGGACTGATACTGGATTAGACTCAAAGCTTAAAGATATGACTTTAAAAACAAACAAACTACAAATCTCACTCTCCCCAGCCAGCTTGGTAGTTGCTGTTCCAAATGCGGCTTTAATTTTGTTTTTACTTGTGCTGGTTGAAAAGGCAAGAGTTTGTCTCAGGACAATAAAATGAGTGGCCTGGAAAGGCTATCAGGGTCGCGCATATAATTTGGTTTCTAGTTGACAGCCCATCACATTAAACTGAAGGAGTCATTTTTGATTTGTTAATAGTGAAATAAATACGGCGGTCTTACAAAATCCTAAAGACAGGAAAGGAGACTTATAGGTGTCACAAAGGTGGCATCTGGATCCCTGGAAACTCTTGACAGGAGAAAGAACGACACAGGATGGAAACATTTTCCGACGTAAAGCACCATCCTATTGAAACCAGCCCTCTTTTTAAAGAGTCACGAGGTCTAGAATCTTGCTTGATATTTAGAAGGTGGGTTGCAGCCTGGCCTTTTTCATATGCTGGAAATCCCAAATCCAGTCATTGACATTTCCAGCGAACAATCTGTCAGATGGCAGGCGATATTTAAATAAATAAATAAATAATAGTAACATTTACCTGCTGGAGAGATTGGACAGCTCCAGAATATTAAACTGGGTGAACAAACAAGCTCGTTTATTTGAGTGGGGATAAACTGTTGGCTAGTTGTTGTTATTCCGTGCCATCAAGTTGCCTCTGACTTATGCTCCAACATGGCCAGTCCTCCACAGCCCTGCTCAACTCTTGCAGACTCAAGCCTGGGGCTTCCTTTAGGGAGTCAGTCCATCTTGTATTTGGTCTTCCTCTTCTCCTACTGCCTTCCACTTTTTCCCCCAACCATTCCTTCGGCCAGGCCGGGGAGGGGGTCATTTGGAACACTCCACCCTGTTGGGCTTCATCCTTGCCTCCATTTTTTTTTCAAACCAGCCGGCAATGACTGGAGTTGAAAACCCCACAGAACAGCCCCTCCCCATTTCCCCTAAAGCAACATTCCAAACAGAGTCCATGTGGACCCCCTTGCCCTGTGGCCCTGGAGGCTCTTGGATTTCTCAGGAGCCACGAATCCACACCGTGTTTCAGTCTGGGGACCTCTCCATGGTGCTGAACCCTAGCCTCCTCCAACTCACAGAGGAGAGGCACCTGGAACAGAACATACCAAACACAGTAGTCATAGAACGGAGAATGGTCTTGCCATTCTGGGGGATGCCAGAGTTGAAAATAAAGAATTGGAAAAACCGTCAAAGGACAGAGACCTGGCCATTGAAACATCTCGCTTGTGGACGAAACCCACTTCAGGGGTCCCCGTCATCATCGGGGCTTTGGGAACAATCTCCAGAAATTTCACACAGTGCTATAAGCAGCTGTAGATCTCAGAAATCACACCCTCAGGGCTATAAGAAATGGCAATATGAGGAACAGGCTACATCCTGTGCCGATACTGAACAGGTACTTAGATTTTTGGTTAAAACTTATATCTGTTACATAATACCAATCAATGTTGTTATAATTTTGATTGACTGCGCCTGATATTTTTTATAAGAATACGGAACAGGTACTTAGATTTTTGGTTAAAACTTATATCTGTTACATAATACCAATCAATGTTGTTATAATTTTGATTGACCAGGGGGAAGAGTCCTCAGAACTGGTTCCCCCTTCCCTTCTTCTGGGTTGGTGCAGCTTGCCCAAGGCCACCTAGGCTGGCTCTTCTCCCAGGAGGCGCGCAGTGCAGGATTCAAACTCCCAATCTTGGGCTCTGCAGCCAGATCCCTAAACCACCGAGCTCTCCAGCCAGCTGAACCTCATTTAAAGTTCAGACTAAAACCCACAATGGAGTCTGGACTTTAGTTTATTTGGGAAAATAAAACATGGGGAGTCACCATGTGTATCTTTCTCCTATGCCAATGGTTCCCACTCTTGGGTCCCCAGATGTTCTCGGACTACAACTCCCAGAAACCTTTACCACTACCAGGGCTGGCCAGGATTTCTGGGAGTTGCAGTCCATCTGGGCACCCAAGGTTGGGAACCTCTGTTCTAGGTTGATGGTTTTCCCACTGAGGCCGTGGAAGGGGTGCAAAGAAGAGCCACCAAAATGATAAGGGGACCGGAGGCTAAATCCTATGAAAAATGACTAAAAGAACTGGGTATGTTTAGGTCAATGAAGGGAAGATGGAGGAGAGACATGAGAGCCGTCTTCCAAGATTGGAAAGGTTGCCCCAGGGAAGAGGGCATCAATTGATTCTCCATTGCGTCTCAGGGTAGGACAAGAAGCAATGGTTGGAAACCTGTCCGAGGGAGATGCAGCCTGGAAACAAGGAGAAATTTCCAGACGGTGAGAACCATGAAGCACTGGAACAAGCTTGCCTCCTAATGGGGTGGTTGCCCCATGGCTGGAGGTTTCCAAGAAAGGACTGGACAGCCATCGGTCCGGATTGGTCTGAGGTCTCCTGCCTTGGGCAGGGGGTTGGACTAGAAGACCTCCCAGGCCCCTTCCAACCCTACCACGATTCTACGATTCCCAGAGGATTTTTGGCAAGGCGCCGAGCTTTTTACCTCTCTCTCTGTGTGTGTGTGTGTGTGTTTATGTTTTAATGGTCTGTAGCGCTGCAGCACATCCGGCTAGGTAATTGCACCCTTCTCTGTAGTGGAGAGACTTGAAAAGACTGCCTGAGATGACCCCCACGTCTGCCAGGGCCTCAGATGAACCGCTCACCAATCGCCGCGGCATCATCACCCTGCAGGGCTCCACACCGTTTCTGAGACGGCAGCAACCGCTCTGACCTTGGGATCAGTCCTTCTCTCCTTCGCCTCTTCCTTCTCTTCCTGCAACGACATGCACATCTCCGCCCTGCCTGGGCTGAACAACCCCATACGAAGACAGGCACATTTGCCGGGGGAGGCTCGGTTGAAAACGCAATTGCCGGGGCTGGGGCGGCACGCGAGATGCTTGTCACCACAAGAGCATATGTGTGCCAGCTCGCCCTTCGTTTTCTCCTCACCTTGTTGAGATGCGTGTCAGCTGTAGGATCGCCAAGAGAGTTTGGACGGCAGGCGATTATTCCGTCCTGCCAGTTCCTCAGTTTTCGTCTCCCTTCCTCCTTCTCTTCCTGCTAAGATACACAACTCATCCACCCCCGTGGATCTCTTGCAAGGCCAGGGTGGGAATGGTTAAAGCTCATCCAGGATGTTTTGGGCAAAAATTAAAATAAAATAAAAAAGAGGGAGACATCTCTGGTAATTCCTGTTCAATCCACGAGACTTGCATAGGAATCAACTTAACCAAGTGGCCATTGATCTGATTGTTCAACTTTTAAGTGGATACCCTGAATGGCCAGAAAGAGGAACAAGTGGGTCCCGGATCAAATCGAGCCTGAACTCTCTCTCTGGAGGCCAAAAGGTCAAAACTGAATTTGTTCTCCTTTTGGACACCTCATGAGAAGGCAGGATTCTCTGGAAAAGACCATCATGCTGGAAAGAGGAAGACCAACATACGAGACGGACGGACTCCCTAAAGGAAGCTACAGGGTTGAGTTTGCAAAAGCTGGGCAGGGCTGTTGAGGACGGGACAACAACAACAAAAAAACAGATTTCTTTTGGTCAACAGCAGCATTAGCAAAGCAAACAAACAAACAACCATGTATTTTATGTTATGTCTCACAACTCGAGGAGGCCCATTTGAACCAATGGATCCTACAGAGCAGCTGATGCACCAAATCCGCATGGAATCAGCCAGCCTGATTGAAGGCATATTTTACGGTGCTACGCAACAGGATTTGGGCTGTTGGCTGAAATCCTGTTGCTTAGTGCGGTCAGCAGCCATTGTGATGAGATGGGTTTTTGAGTTAAAGTCTTGTAAGGAATATGGGGTTTGTAATTAAGAAATGAGCAAGGGAGGTTCCATCTTGTTTCTTTGTATAAAGTATCTATGCTATGCTAACAGGTTGTTTTCTAGGCGAGCAGAGAGAATGTTATTCTGATAGCCTGAGAAAAGGACTCAGTGTGATTAGATGGGAATTGTTGTGACTTTTT